TACAAATACATTAAAATATTATAATGCATCTCGCATCTCGAAATATTAGAATTTCGATTTCATCATTGATTTGTTTCAATCTCCTTAAAAATAAAAATATTTCATATGTTTCAAAACGATATTTTGATCTTTGGTTGATAGGAGGTTTAATATGAGAAGTACTCACCCTTCAAAGTTGTATTTTCAAGTAATCGAGAAAAGAGAGATGGCTATTGTTGGGTCTAGTCGGACGAGGGGAAAAAATTTCATAAAGATGATATGTTTGTATACTTTAGTTTTATTTTATTATGTCGCACCTGGTCAGTTTTTTGTACTTTGAGCTACCAAATTCATGCACAGTGTACAGGGGTAATGTAAAAAGATGTGGGGTTCCACTCTACCAGATCGTAGACTTTGATGACTGCTTCCAGGTTAGGTTGTAACAGTGTACGTTGGGTAACTAATTCTTATTGGTTATTCTTTTGGGTTAATCTCATTTTATACCTTGAAAGATTGTTCGAATTTTAATTTGTACCCTCAAAGATCAAAAATCTCAATTTATACCCTCAAAGATAGAAATTTGAATCAATGTGCACCCCCAAAGATCAAAAATCTCAATTTACACCCTCAAAGATAGAAATTTGTATTAATGTGCATCCCCAAAAATCAAAAATCTCAATTTGCACATTCAATGATATAAATTTATATCAATGTGCACCTAAAATTAAATTAATAAATTATACCTTGATCCCCTCATGTTTGTCACTTAATCATTTGAACTCCTTCACATTTAGAATATTTCCCTTACATCTCATGACGTTTATGCATGTGTAACACATAACCACTTTTCGTTGATATATATTAATATAATCATTAAAAAATATGATTTTATCCTAATATAAAATTATAATTTTATATTACCTTTTATTTTGTGGATTCGATATACTCTAAAGTTGAAAATCAAGCTTATCATTTGAATGTCTAATAAAATGTAGATATTTATATAAAAGGTAATATGAAAAATATTATATAAATATTTATATTTTATTAGACATTCAAATGGTAAACTAGATTTTGAACTTTATAGTATATTGAACCTATAAAATAAAGGGTAATATGAAATTATAATTTTTTATTAGGATAAAATTATATTTTTTAACGGTTATATTAATAGATATCAATGAAAATGGGTTACGTGTTATACGTGCACAAATATCATAAGATGTAGGAGTAATATTCTAAATGTGAATAGGTCTAAATGATTAACTGACAAATATGAGGGGATTTAGGTATAATTTATCAATTTAATTTTAGGTGCATATTGATACAAATTTTATTTTTGAGGGTGCAAATTGAGATTTTTTATCTTTGGGGTACACATTGATATAAATTTCTATCTTTGAGGGTGCAAATTGAAATTTTTAATCTTTGGGGGTGCACATTGATACAAATTTCTATCTTTGAGGGTGTAAATTGAGATTTTTGATATTTGAGAGTATAAATTGAGATTCGAACAATCTTTCGGAGTACAAAATAAAATTACCCCTATTCTTTTCCCTTTCGTGTCCTATTAGCCTACATATTAGCATTAGGCTTTTATTTATTCACTTAAGAGTTAAATATTTAATTATAATTATAACTTTGACTACTCCAATAAGTGTATAGTACAGGTACATAAATAACATAATCAACAATTTTATTAACATATAATTGACAGATTAGATTTTACGATTAAATATATTTCATATATAGTTGATTTTTAGGTATTCAATAATATCATAATATTAATATAAATAATAGTATTACAATATAATCAATCTCTTTGTTAATAAAATATAATAAATTGATAATATGTGAGATATACAAATACTCAATAATGACAATTTTTAAGCTCCACTATAAAAAATAAATGAAATTTTTAAAGGAATCAGAGAGATACCTAAAAATGACAGATTAGGTACTTCGATAGAGATAAAATATATCAATAATTAAATTTAATAATAATAAAATAAAATTTAGTTATTTGACATATAATTTATGGAGAATTACACTCAGACCCCTAATATTTAAAATATTACACATAGATCCCTAAAGTTTGTACAGGTGTAACAATTAGACTACTGCTGTAAATATATATGTTAATAAATTGCACCTAGACCTCCTAAACTTTGTAAACATATTTTACTTAGACCCCTTAAGTTTAAAATATTATACTTAGACCAAAAATACTTCAATCAAAGATAAAATATCAAAATATTTTAAATTTTACAATTAAAATTCATGCTCTATTATATCTTTTATTGAAATAAAATAAAAAATAAAGAATTAATTTTTTCTTAAAAAATCGTATTTAGTATAAATTTATATTGTCTATTGAAATTTAGTTTGGTCGTTTAAAATACCAAATTAAAATACCAAACTACCCCAATTAAAGGTAAAAGATATTGTGTCCATTGACTCCTTATTTAATTTTTTAGTTTTATTTAATAGATAGTATAATTATATACTAATTATTATTTTTTTAAAAAAAACTAGATTTTTATTTTTGAATTTATTTTAATAAATGACATAATAGAATATGAATTTTGGATGCAAAAATTATGTTCTATTATGAATGACTTAGACCCCTTATTTGATTTTTTTTTTGTTTTATTCTAATAGATAATATAATTGTATACTAATTACGATTTGTTAAGAAAAAATTAAAATTTTATTTTTAATTTATATTAATAAATGATACAATAGAACATGAATTTTGGTTGTAAAATTTAAAATATTTAATATTCTATCTTTGATTGAAATATTGTTTGTCTAAGTATAATATTTTAAACTTAAGGTGTCTAAATATTATATATCTATAAGCTTCAGGGGGTCTAAGTGTAATTTATTAACTAATATATTTACAACAAAGGTCTAAATGTTACGCACGTACAAACCTCAAGGATCTATGTATAATATTTCAAATGTCAGGGGTCTAGGTATAATTCTCCTTATAATTTATTATTCAATTATAATTACAAATATAAGTTAATTTTTTATAAAAAAATTATTATTATTTAAGTATGTTCACGTGCAAAAAATCTCAGTATTTGTGAAAATTTTTAATTTTTAATTTTATCCTTAATTATTATTATAAAATTAATTATACTCACATATTTGCTTTTATCTAATTTTTAATGTTTTCTATAGCTATTAGACTTTTTTAATTCTTTTAGACTCTTTTATTAGTAATATTTGACTTCTAAATTGTTTTGAGCTCATTTATTGATAATACACTTACATATAATTTATATATATATTTATTAGCAATGCACATGTGCGTTGCACATGAAAAAAATTTAGTTCATTAATTTGTTATCAAATTTATTTGAAATACAAAGTTGATGGGGAATAAAATTGAATTATTTTTTGTAAAGGTAAGTGAATAATCAAAATACCAAAAAAAAGACACTTAATCTTTTAACATCAAAAATTGATAAATTTCAGCCAATAAATGATAAATAATACTTAAAAACATGATACATATAAAAATATTCAAAAACATGGTACATAATATATTTCCTAACTTTAATTATTTTTTTAAATATTTTTTCTTATAGTTAGAATAATGAATTTTTGGAACATAAATTTTTTATTTATAATGCTATAATAGAATATGAACAATGAAAAATTAAGTTTAATAAATTTGATTAGAGAGTATTAAGATTTGGACAAACTTTCAAAATATTAGCTATATGAGCAATGAAAAATTGGATTTACGAGAGGTTGTAATAAAACAAAGAAATACTAGCATAGAAAATTTTAATGTAAACATAGAAATTAATAAATTAACTTCAATTATGCCGAATACTCGACCTGTCACATCAATTTAATAAACTAAAACATAAGAATTAATAAACTAACCTCAATTATTATACCGAATACTTGACTTGTCATACTAATCTCTTAGAAAGTTGTTTGACATTACATTAAAAAAAATTAAGTGCCACAGAACATAGGAATTAACATAAACATAAGAATTAATAAACTAAAATATATAAATTAATAAAACTAACCTCAATTATGCCGAATACTCGACTTGCCACATCAATTTAATAAACTAAAATATAAGAATTAATAAACTAACCTCAATTATTATATCGAATGCTTGACTTGCCACACCAATATCTTAGAAAGCTGTTTGACATTAAATTAAAAAAAAATTAAGTGTCACAAAACATAGGAATTAATAAACTAAAATAGAAGAATTGATAAACTAACCTTAATTATGCTGAAAACTCCAACTTCGAATTCGTTAAGTTTGTCACAAAAGAGCATGAGACAATAGAACTTCAAATAAATGACTATGACAGACTAACTTCTAACTCTAACATGAATTGAAAAAAAAATATATGTATATGTATCACCTAAAAATTACCAATACGTGATATTATAATTCTAGTAGAGTTTGTATAGTTGAAAGAAAAAGAAAGAATGTATTGTCATAGAGACAACGTTTATCTATGAAGTCATAGAGATAAAGTTTATCTACTAAGTCACATAGATAAAATTTATCTAGCTAATATTTTGGAAATCAAGTAGATATGAAAGACAGAAAAATATGTAGGTATAATTGACTTTATGATAATAATTAAAGGTGAAATAGGAAATTAAAATTTTTTACTTATGCTGACATTTATAAGTATAAATATAAATATAAATATAGATTTATATAAAAAATAAAATACAATCTATAGTACATTATTATATACATGTTTTTGACAAATTGAATTTTATTGACAAATACATGTCATATTTAAAAAGGTATGAAGATGCCTAAAAATTAACAATTTAAGTACTCAAATAGTAGTAGGGTAGATCAATAATTAGATTTAGTAATGATTCACATAAAATTTAATTATTTGACATATAATTTATTATTAAAATAAATTTTAAATGTAAATTAATATGAAATGGATAACGCAGACTAATGGAAGGGGTGGGCATTAGTGCAGTAGTATTTTGTACCAGTGTGGAACGCGTCAAAACGTGACCGCGGCTTCTAGAGTTGGGCTTTTGGGTTTGAACAGTATTGGCCTCTACCTCTCTCCAATACCTTCTCAGTTCGCATAGATCAGTGGACTCTCTCCAATACTTTCACTGATAGATCTGTGTCGTCTTCTCTATCTCTTTCTCTAAGGTAATCACCCCCTCCTCCTCCTCTCTCTCTCTATATATATATGTATACATATACAAACGCAGTACCTGTATCTTTATCTTCTTGTCTTTTATTTATTGAAAGTGAAATACTAGGGTTTGGAACAGCAGGTCGGCCCAATTTCATTTTCGAATTAAAAGAAAATTAGTACCTAGGGTTTTACAGATACAATCTGTATCTGTTTGTAGATTAGGTCTACGCGGAGAGAGGATTTTGTTCTGAATGTTATAGTCCAGTGTGTAAGGAAGTTAGCAGAAATTATTCGAAAATTATTTCACTTTGTAGCTTTTCTGATCACACATTTCACTTTGTAGCTTTACTGATTACACATTTCACGTGAACATGGTAATTGCATATTGTTTTTTTTTTCTATTTTCTTTCGAGTTGCTCTGGATTTTGTCATTAATCGCACATTGTTCCTCGCGAATTTTAATTACTCAATTGTTTCTGTGGTGATCTGATGGTAAGGGTTTCTGCGATTGTTGTTGTGCATTGCATGCAATGCCATGTGACATACAACCTTTCTATGGGCTTAAGGTCGTTCCTTTCTTGTAACGAGATTATGTGATCGGATTCTGACTTTAGTTTAGTGGGAAGCTTGTTTGAAATTTGAGGGTTGCTTTGGCATGTGGCAAAAGCTGATTGGACGGGCTATGATTAAATTGGATGTTGATAGTGTTTTTTTGGTACGACAGATGTTTATAGTGTTTGCTTTAAATTTAACAATTTTTTGTTGTTCAAAGTTTACTGAAATACCAAGGCAATACCTACAAATTTGATTCAGTTAGCAGATTATTGGACAGTTTTAGATCTTGTTTGGTTCTGTCGATTTGGTGATGTTCTTTTATATATACGAAAAGACTTTGCTTATGTATGTGGTTTTTCTGTGTGCAAAAATAAATTAATGCACTATATTTTAGGGTTGGGGGTGGGGTGGGGGGACGGAGAATCGAGCTAGAGTTTCTGTAAAATCAGTGCCAAACTACAAAATTTTGCAGAAACTTTTCAGCAGAAAAAATGAGTGAGCATATTTTTAAAGAAGATTGATCTCTGATGCCATGATTCTTTATGCTCTCCCTTCTTTTTATGCCGTTACCTTGGGGCTGCCCATTAATTTATGGGCCCTGCACAAGTATTTATTTTGCTTGCCTTACTTTATCTTTTGAGAAGCGTGATACTCATATCGTGATATCATGGATTATTTTTTTCTACTTTTATTAAATTATCATCTTGGTGTTGAGATTTATCTGTATGTTGTTCAGAGTACCTTTTCATACTGCTACTTGCTGTTGTTATGTTTCATTGTCCATCTTCCATTAAATGCATAATATTTTTTACTATGTGCTCAATGTGAACTTATTTCATTGCTCAATTTGGTGTGAAGGGAAGTGAAATCAAAGAGAAAAGTGGTTACAGTATATAAATGGCTAGTTTTCTATGATTTTCTCTCTATTATCCAACTGTCAATTGTATATGTTTTAGTTAATGGGTGACAATTTTTTTTGATGATGCTAAAAGCTTTTTAAAAGAAACATATCATCGTAGACCTTATAGCTCCATTCAGTAAATTTTTTTGGATGAGTTAAGACTTGGTCTTCTAGTTTTAAGTAGCTGAAGAATTAACATTACGGCTCTGCTTCCTTTTTTTTTTAATCCTGGTTTTCTATATGTTCTAAATTTGCTAATTAACCTATTCGTCTTGGAATGGCCAATCATTATGAGGTTTAAATTGTTGCTGAGAAAAGTGTGAAGATTGGATGTCAATTTTGTTGTGTGATGTTATTTTTGGTTATTTAGGTTGTGGATTTAATGTTTGATGAGACCCATGGGATGGGATAAATTCTTCAAAATAAATAGATATTTATATTTTGCGGCCTTGAAGGTAGATTTAATTTGTGTAGCACAAGGCTCGAACCTCTTGGTGTGATAGGAGAAGGGAAAAGTAATAGCGTGTCGTAAACTTGTGGGATTGCATTGGAGTTTAAGAACAAGTAATTTGAGGTTTAAACAAATTTCATTTGTGACTTGGGGTGATGATTGATTGTTTCTTAGTTTAGCAGTTGGTGGTTGTATACAAGATATATTTAACTAGCATCGTTGCTATGACTTTAGAGTATGAGGTGAAGGGTGGGGGTCTGGATTTGGCATTTAGTTCTATGATTATGTTATATCTCAGTCAATCCCCTTGGTTTTTATGTTTGCGTTGGAGTGGATGTGTAGATGCGCACATGTTTGTTGATTCTGTAATTGGATTTTATTTCTGACTGATGACAGATACCAAATAATCTTTTTTTTTTTTGTTTTTTTAGAGTTTGTAATTGTGTGATCACATGGTTGTGGTGTTAACTGGTTGCTCCAATCACATTCTCCTTTTTCAGATTGTAGGTTATTTGTGCACAGAGAAAAGCTTCAAAAGCGGATTTTTGTGTCATAACAATTCTGAAGAAAAGGAAAAACTGCTCTTCGGCAAGGACAAATTTTTTGGATGATCTGCTGACATTTTTGCAATGTCAGGGTTACTTAATGTATTGCCCATTCTTTACATAAACTTTACATTAGCACAAAATGTTGGAAAATTAGTGTTGTACATGTTGGAAGTTTGGGTCTCCTTAAATGGATATGTAGCTTATTTTTGTGCCTGCAGCATCAGTGTATTACTCCACTTTTTTGATATCAAATGTGATGCTGTTTTGTGACATATGCCTATGCTTCCACTTTTAGTCCTTAGTTGTGAATCTTTTTCAATGGGTTGGTTTATTATGTTTGCATGCATGTGATAACCTCATCGACCAGTATAGAGATTATGGAAATAGGAATATGCAATCTTCTGTCTAATGTCATGGATTATTTGGGTGTTTTTGATGTGTTATCAAATTGCTTTGATTTGCTTATGCTTAATTAACTTTGGTGTAATATGAAAATTTCTTTCTCAGAATTTAGAAGTTTACCTTTATTTTTAGTTGTTGTCTTTCTTTGCTATGGGTTACCTTATTGTAACACGTGAGTCCAAGAATGGTAAAAAGCTGATTATAATAGAGATCCATAATGAGTGATGCATTTGAGAAATTGAGACTCTCTTAGAATTGTTAACCTGGTTTTTGAAAAAATCACGAATATAAGAATGGAAGCATGTTATTCCCTCCGTTCCTAAATATCTGTCGTTTTACCCTATTTTTTTTGTTCCACAATATCTATCGTTTTATGAAACCACAGAATAATTAATATTTTTTTTTTAAATTTACCCTTATCTTTGTTTTCTAATAAGTGCTTAATAGATTAAGTGTAGGTTAAGTGCCTTTCATATTCTTTTCCTTCCCAATGCGTATTGAATAAGGGTTTTTTAGTCTTGTGCAATTATTTTTTACTCATACTAGGGCTATTTAACAGCTTCCTTAATCCCTGTGCAAAAACCTTAAAAGACAGATATTTAGGAACGGAGGGAGTACTAAATAAATAATGTGCATCGCCTTGGTATTAAAAATCATACAGCCTTTTTTTTGATCCTCATAGTTCCTAAGCCGACCGCATATTCCATATAATCTATATCCTAAGACTCCAGCCAAAATGTAAAGGTTCCAACTGTGAAAGAGGCTGAACACCAATCGCAGCACAATCTTACAGAGGTGTTATTGAACATGAAATAACGATTATGTGTCACGAACTTCTCTGTGAGGGGGGTGATTATTGTGAGGATAGTGCTTGAATTGATTAAGAAAGTGGCATGGTATGTTTACATTTTTTGTTACAGGGAAAGGGTGCCAACAAAAAATGTGAACATATTAGGGGCAGGGGCCTATTAAGAAATAAAATTAAGTGCAAACATCTGTTTTTTTAGGGGCGTAAATTTTAATTCATATTCATCTCTTCTATATGATATGGAGGTTATATTACTGTGCTAGCAGGGTCCTTAAATGTTTATGGTTTGTGGCTATCAATCTCACAGGATGTCCTCAACACAAATTCTCTCTTAAAGCGTCTATTCTTTCTGTTCAGAAGTCTGTAACATATGTCTGCACGCAACGGTTTCCCTGAACTCTACATTGGTTATAGTTATCAAGACACTAACCCCATTTACAAGGGAAAATGAATGCGTCTTTGATTTACAGTATGCTTGAGGTCTTTATTGATTAATTTGAACAGTAGGATGTTCACTCTTTTCCTGCTCAATTTACAATTACTAGAGCATTTGCATTTACATGCCTCATATACGTGAATACTGTTTGATCTTAATATGGGTTCTCATATCTAATTGATGCACAGTAAGTTGTATCGTCATGATCAAATGGTAATTCTAATGCATGCTTACCTTTTTTTTTTGGGTTGTAAAACTTGATACATGGCTGCAGTCATCTCTGAATGGATCAGCTTCAAATCATCCAGACAGCACCGGACGATCTTTTGCTACATCGTTCTCTGCTCAATCTGGTGCAGCTTCCCCTGGTTTTCATCACACAGGTGAGCGGATTTTGTTGGAGTATTATGAGCATTTATATTATTCCGGTTTTAAATATCAGGAAAGATGTTTTCTCTCAGGAACTATTCAAGGGATGCATAACATTCATGGGAGCTTTAATGTTCCCAACATGCCAGGCACCCTTGGATCAAGAAATTCAGCAATAAATAATGTTCCTTCAAGTGGCGTTCAACAATCTACTGGAAACCTTTCGAGTGGACGGTTCACATCAAACAATATACCTATTCCTTTGTCTCAGGTAATTTTATCTGTTTTGCACATGACATACCGGAAACCTACAGTTGATAGTTATACTAAAGAAACCCTGCATATGGAAATATTGTTTTTGATGCACAGATATCTCATGGCAGTTCACATAGTCATTCAATGGTGACAAATAGAGGTGGTATGAATGTTGTTGGAAGCCCTGGATTTAGCAGTAGCACAAATGGAGTTGGTGGTTCTATACCTGGAATTCTCCCAAATTCTGCAGCTATTGGCAGCCGGAGTGCTGTTGCAGGACTGGGAGTCTCTCCAATTTTGGGAAATGCAGGTCCAAGGATGACAAGTTCAGTGGGAAACATGGCTGGTGGGGGCAACATTGGGAGAAGCATGAGTTCTGGTGGAGGATTATCTGTGCCTGGTCTTACTTCTCGCCTCAATTTATCTGCGAATAGTGGTTCTGGAAATTTAAGTCTGCAAGGGCCAAATAGATTAATGAGTGGTGTCCATCAGCAAGGTACAGTATTTTAACTGTTTGCAGTTTGTTGTGGCTTAAGACAATATGATCTCTCTTCCAAAGCTTTGAAGCGCGTGCCCATCACTTGTACTGTTATGACGTCCAACTGATCACCACATCTGTATTTGAAATTATGCAGCCAAAAAGTAGAAAGATTGTAACATTGATTTAATGGACTTACCAAATATATTTTTTTTTTTTGGTTTTCTATGATACATTTGTGCCTAGTTTCCTAAAAATACGTAACACTGTTTTGTTACTTATTTTGTGAAAAGAATTGGTTAATGTTTTTGGAACTAGGTGATTCTGGTAAATTATAGAAGGCACACAAAAGTTAGAATGCAGGTAAGATTGTTTCCATGGCTACTGCTGTCGCCTAAGAAGCACAGGGAACACGGATACGACACAAACACAGACACACAGGGACGATATTTGTTAAAAAAGTAGGGCAAGGACCCAATGGGGATATGAAATAGATAATTGTGTTTTTATATATAATATATAAAATTATATATTTTATCACAAATATAGGGACAATGAAATGTTATTCATAAAGAATTTAGTACTTTATGATAATTAAATATTATGTCTTGTCAGTAAGTTTGAATTTTAGGACTAGCATTATAGTAGTTAATAATCATCAATTTTTTCATAGACGTGTACTAAACATTTATAATTTAAATTGATTGCTCTTTTCTAAATCTTTTATGTATCTTATGCTTTTGGTGTTATAGTTTGAGTACAACTTTGAAATGTCTAGTCTTGGTAATTATATGTTCTCTCTTAGTAGTCAAATTTTTAAACTTTGTTAATCACATGTATATTGATTAGTAGTAGACATGGTGTAAAAAAGTGTTGGACACGTCACAAAAGTGTTGGACACGTGTTTGAAATTAAAATTTTATCATTTAATTATGGACTCGAATAAAAGAGTATCAGATATGTGTCCGAGGAGTGTCAGTGTCCGACACGGATACGTCACCTTCTTGAGTGTGTTCATGCTTCATAGGTTGTCGCTCTGCACGGATATTGAAGTCCTGTTAATTCAAATAAGACCATTTCATTGAGTGTAGTTTTTTACATCTGTCAGTCTGATTCAGGATCTGTGCGGATGTGCCTTGCCAATGACCTTAATTAGATTGATATTGTCAATCCCCTATTAAGGTGGTTCAATTACATTCACGTTTTGCTTGCCCCTTTATCCCCTCCCCTTTTTTACAGCCATTTTTCATACTGATGTCCTGTACTCCCCAATCACCACTTGTTCCTTTATTTTTTTATTCAACATCTAGTCTACACAATGCCAAGAACAATCTAATAATATGTTTATCGCAGAAGTACACAATATGCTTTCTTGCTTAATATTTGCATGGATCCCACATCCTGTTGAATCTGCGCATTTGTAATTGATTGGGCATTGGAATTTTGATGTAAGGCACTTACAGCCACTCACTTCTTATGAAAAAGAGGACCTGGTCTGATTTTGTTGGAACTGTTGTATATCGAACCATTTTCAGAATGCATTTTCCTTGTTCTATTAGAATGTGATCTATATTGAACTGTTCTCGTGGCATCTCATTATTTATATATCTCCTCATGCAGAAAGGTCTGAAGTTAATAAAATTAAGCTGTGTGATTGGGATTAATTTTCCTGCATTTGATGATTTATCTGATTTGGTGATAGAATTTATGCCTTTGATGGCACCGGAATTAAATAATGCTATTTGTTGTATTTTTGGATGTTTGAACTTGTGGTCAGCTTCTTTGTTTTGGCCTTTTGAATTTTTTTTTAGTATATATATATATTGCCACTACCTAACTATTACATTGTCACCAATGGGCCTTTGGTCCAATGGTACTCCTTGCCTTGTCAAGACTTTACCTTATTGAGCTCAATGGTTCAAGCCCCTTCCCTCCTCCCCCTCTTCCTCCCAAAAAAAAAAAAAACGATTACATTGTCTAGGGTAAAGCTATACCCATAGAGTCAGCTTGAAGCTGTAGCTTAATACAGTCTGGAGGAGATTCAAATATAGTGACACCCTGAGAACGTCTCACTCCTGATTTAGCTAGCATATCTGCACAGTGATTAGTCTTCCGCACCTGCTTGAGAGCTACTTCCTGCAACTTGCTCATCAGCCACATGCAGTGATTGGGCATTTGAAATTTTGAATGCATACACCAGCATCTGTTATATCTTACTTTGGACTATTCATTTATGTGAATCTGCTTACATTGTGTTACTATTTTTGCCACTGTGTCATACAGTGGCCCCTAAAATTTTCTTGGATGAAATTACGATTCTGATAGTTTCTTTGTGAAGATGAGGATGGATTATGTTGTGTTTTACTTTGTTGGTGTTTCTGCTATTGTAAATGGTATATTTTTTTTCTTCTGGGTCCAGCTTCTCCGCAGGTGATTTCTATGCTAGGAAATTCCTATCCTAATGCTGGTGGCCCACTATCCCAAAACCATGTTCAAACAGTGAATAACCTGAGCTCTATGGGAATGTTGAATGATGTCAACTCCAACGATGGTTCACCATTTGATATAAATGATTTTCCTCAGCTGACAAGCCGTCCCAGTTCTGCAGGAGGGCCTCAAGGACAAATAGGTAGCTTTGGTGCCCAGATTTAACTCTAGGATAATTTTCCTTAAATGCTTATCTCAGCAGATAATTATTGAAACCATAAACTTTGCAGGTTCATTGCGAAAACAAGGTCTTGGTGTTAGTCCTATTATCCAACAAAATCAAGAGTTCAGCATCCAAAATGAAGATTTTCCAGCTTTACCGGGATTTAAAGGTGCATGCATTTTGATGTTACCTGCTTGATGCTGCAGTGAATTTTAAGCCAGATAATATATGTATGCCTTACCGATGAGTATATACATGTATGTAATACAAAAATGAATGCATGCATGCATCGCCTGGCTACTTAATGGATGTAAATTTTCTGTAATTATCACAATCCTTTGATAATAGCCTGAAAGGAAACTCATATTTAAATTGTAGCTTAGAACTGTTCGCGCTTATTTTGAAATTATTTTTCTTTTTTAAATATTGTTAAACTCCTGTATTTGGTTAGTGTTTTTACACAATGTGATTTTTTAGATAAATTTCCAAGTATGTAGGTAGAGCTGACAAATCTCTGACACCTGTAATCTTCAATGCAAGAAAGCCCTGATTTCTGAATATCTGAGGCTCGAAAGCTGGAAAATTTTATGCTGAGAACACATAAGATACTTTTGAAGACAGCTTCCGAAGAAAGCTTCAACTATTGAAGTGTCTGGTTTCATTGTTGTAGGATTATTACTATCTGTTTAAGTTGGCTCATCCGGTCTGTTCTTGACAGACACGTCCTTTACTCTGGACGCCAATTGTGAAATGTGTTGCTAAATGAGCAGAAGATGGCTATTAAAATGCATATGCATTTGTACAACTAAAACAAACATTGGCTGTTTGGCATTGGATGGGAAAATATCCTCTTGTTGCTTTGCTTTGCTTTGATTGAACTTTGTCATCTGACAAGCGTGCTTACTAGAATATCTGACATTGTGTATGGAATTTACATATCATCTTTCTCCTTCTAAGCACTAGCTTGTGTGACAGGTATTTGGAAGAGCGTCAGTTATTGTGGTTACATTCTTCCTATTTTGTCCCTAATGCTTGGACTTTAGACACGTCTTTCATTTAAAAATTGACTAATTGCATTTAAAATTCAATGTTATTGACTATCTATTAGATTTGACACAGGTGGCAGTTCTGATTATGCAATGGATTTGCTCCAGAAAGAACAAATTCATGACAATGCTGTTTCTCTGATGCCTCAGCACTTCACTGTGAGTTTTGTGCTGCGGAAGATCTGGGACTTCATCAATTTTAATGCATTTTCATCCAATTCTTGAGGCTTCTTGAGCTTTATACTGGTAATTTGCAGATGGGGAGATCTGCTGGATTTAACTTGGGGGGAACATATACATCACATCGTTCGCAACAGCAACAGCAACATGGCCCTTCAGTCAGTAGCAGTGGCGTCTCCTATTCAACCATGAACAATCAGGATCTTCTCCACCTGCATGGTTCAGATATGTTTACATCATCACAATCAACGTATCACTCACAGGTTTTTTTTTCTCTCTCAAGTTCTTATCTGTTTTCTTTTCCTCATGGCATTGGTTCCCCCTCCACTCCCCCCAACAGTTTTTGTCTTTCCTTGTTGTGGATCTATTGTCTTTTACTCAAACCAAAGACCCATCCACCCCTTCACTGCAGCTCTAGATGAGGTTACCTTGGTAACTAATGCCCTAGAGAAAGTTTTTGAGTTCCTGGCTCAAACAAGGCACTTAATGCCTGTTTGGAATGGTCTTTAGAGCTCATTATCTATATCTTCTATGCTTTCTAAATGTCAGAATATGGGAAAAACTTTTGAATCACTATATTTTCCTTAAAAAAATCCAAAAGACAACACTTCTGTTTTTTAGTAAAACTAGCGATGGACCCATGCCTGAATGAAGGCACTGCATAACAAAAAAAATCGATCATTAGGAAAAACGGAGGCTCTTCAAAAATTAAGTTGTGTGTGCCAGGCAAGATGGGCTCTGTCAGCTACGTGTATGTGTGTCAGGCTGCACGACCAACTTTTCAAGCTCATTTTTTCCCAATATGCCAAAAACCCAGTGACCTAATGTAAAAAAAAAATACATAAATGCTGGCACCATTAACCTTGAAATAAAACTAAATGACTCTTTATGTCAAATTCTATTTCGAAACTCAAAGTGAATTGTTCTAGCAAGAAACATGAATACTTAGTTATCGACCGGGTTCTTCACCACCATTCCCATCGCAAAAGTGCCCCTCTACTATGTCTTCTTCAAATCATTTATGCTCATTACAAAGAAATGAATAACCATAATTCTAAGGATAGGTATAGCTTCATACCTAAAAGTGAATGTTTAAGACATAAAAACTAAAAATTTTCCATGAAAACTACAATATATGAACTAGAGTGTATAATGTACATTTCAACTTTCATCACTTTCAAACAATATTTCATGAAATTCAAACTCTCCAATCAAACACCCCAAAAAGGCACGACCATTCAACAACAAATGAAATAACCCCATAAACTTTGATAAAAGCAAAGAGAGAAAGAGAAGAGACAATAGAGAATGATTGTATTACAGCATAATAGAAAAATACATACAAAAGGCCCTTATATAGTAGGGCAACATAAAAGAATAAAATGACTAAACTACACTTAAGATTAAATATTCTAACTATAACACTCTACCTCAAACTCATGATGTGCTAGCAGAAAACATTAAGAGTTTGCCAGAAGAAAACAAAAGCGATTAATAGTATGCGATTTTGTAAAAAAATTTGCTAACTGCATAGTGGAAGAAAGAAAAGGGTGGGAGATAGTACCCAACTGAAGATGATGACGCACAAAATGACAATCAATCTGTTGGAATAATAGCCAATCAATCAGCGCAACAACCCAAACAACAAATATCAAACAACCCAATAGCCCAAAGTAATAAAGAACAACAAATTCCAGCTCAGCCCAAACTATCAGTAATTGCAATCACAAAGCAGCGAACAGGAGCAACGAACAGACCTAAAGCAGAACAATAGCAGCGAACAGCGACAAAACCAAGTAGGCAACAAAGTCTTCCAGCAAGCCAAGTAGAGAAGAATATTCAAAACCAGCAACAATGAAGTAACAGAGCAATAACTGAAGCTAAAATTCTGCACAAGCTCACAACCAGCATGGGCCACCAATCGCTCACACCTCACACCCACAACCAACAAACTAACAATTAACAGATCAAAGAACAGCAGCAGACAAGGTAGGAAGATGGCATGAGCAGCAGAAGGCAGAAGCCAAAGAAGAAGTGATAAACCAGTCGCTATAGTGTTTTCCGAAGGAGGAAATCAGCCAAAAATCCCATTCCTTTGCATCAAAAACCAGTTCAAAATGCTTCAAAGCATCCAATCGAACACCAAGGAAGAAATATACCAAAAAAAAAAAGGGCACTAAAAATCGAAATTAGGCACTGCTCACAGCATGAACAGTAATGTCGGGGGCACTGTTCACCGTGTGAAACAGTGTTTTTTGGCACAGTTCACAGGCCCTTAGAACCACAAATAGCAACCCATCACTACAACATGAACAGTAATGTTGGGGCATTGTTCACAGTCCCTTAGAACCACAAATAGCAACCCACCTATCACTAGCTCTCAAATCACACAACCCAAGAATATATTCTTCCTCCAACTAAATTACCGTGGTGCTACAATATATATTTTGGATCGAAATCAAACTCTGATACCATGTAAACTTTGATAAAAGCAAAGAGAGAAAGAGAAGAGACAATAGAGAATGATTGTATTACAGCATAATAGAAAAATGCATACAAAAGACCCTTATATAGTAGGGCAACATAAAGAATAAAAGGACTAAACTACCCTTAAGATTAAATATTCTAACTACTCTAACAAATCCAACCATAATACCTTCGCTAATCCCTCGATAATTTGCCTCCTCTTCCCCGGAATGAAAATCATTTTAAAAAAAAAGAAGGGTTCATTGGCGTTTAGACACCAATAATAATCACTTGGAAAACAAAACTTATTGATAGATTGCCAAATGTGTCATACGTGTAGATATTGACATTGCGTAAAATTGTCGATTTTTCTGGCAAATGACAAAAGTATGTAATGGCGAGGTAAAATGAAAATGAAACCTAGAGAGGTTCGCTACTATTCAAAAAAGAACCTCTAAAGGGGAAAAGTGTGTCTGAGCGTGTAGTGAGGACAAATGACATACTTGCAAAGGAGAGGGATGGCGTTGTGGTCGATTAGTCGCTGGGGGACAGTGTGCCAAAACATTGTGTCCATGCGTCTATGATGAATTTTGTCGAACATGGTGACAATTCTCATCCAATCGCACCTAATCATAAAAACTATTTCAACAACAAATTTGGGTAGTAAAACAACTCCGTAAATTTTGTTCATGTGTGTGCTGTGGGGGTTGCGTGTGTGATGTAGATGTGTTGGTGCTGTTCTTGTGTGTGCCCATGTGCTGGGTGTGTGCATGTGCTCTGTGTGAGTGTGTTTGTTTTGTGTTGCAAAGAAGAGAAAAAGAAGAGCATACGTGGAGAGGAATGCAATAGGGAAGAGCATATGAAGTTGGATCAAACAAAACCCATCAAAGAGGAACACAAATTCAACCCATTTATACATTATTTCCCACAGGCATTTCAACAAACACTTCACATGCATGATGATTAACTATAAATCAACATCAAATTTACCAAGCGTCGCTTGCTAGAGAGGGTAAGGAGAGGAGAGGAGAGTGTGTGACTGTGTGTGCGTGTGTGAATCTGGCCGTATTTGTATGTGCGTGGGTGGGTGACTTTTAGTATATAGTGCATCTTGGTATGTGTGCAGAGATGAAGACGGAGAGTGAGAAAGAAAGGGAGTTAGAGAGGGGAGAGATGAAGAGGGGTGTGTGATGCTCTGTGGCGCGTGTGTGTGTTGTGTGCGTGGGTGTTTGCCTGATGTATTTTGTGTGCTATGTGTACGTGGGTAGTGCACTGTATGTATGTGGGTTTTGCATGTGTGTGTTCACTATGTACGTGTGTGTGGCTATTTGTGTGTGTGTGTGTGTGATGCAGAGGATGGAGAGAGTAATACCTTAGAGAGATCTTGAGAGCTGTGTGGTGGTGGAGGAGGAGAGGCGGCCTGACCTCTACATGTGTGTGTTCTGAGAGATAGTGAGAGAAAGGTTTTTTTTTTTTTTTGTTGGGGGGGGTTAGCGTGGAGAGGGGAGGGGGCTAACAGGGAGTGGGGTATGTGTGTGTTCTGACAGGCGTGCGTGTGTGCGCCATTGGGCATGTGCAGATTCAGTGGCCTATGCATGTGGGTGGGAAAATATATCCCCCATAAGTTCAAAAACCTATCTATCTTATTAGATAGATGTTCAAAGCACTCTTTAATAATTCCGTTCATATAATATCACCCTCAAAGGCCCCAAAAACCTATGTGTGTGGCTTCTCGTCCTCCAAAATGTTTCAGTTTCAGTTCACTTAAAATGATTTGATTTCAGTTATAACTGGGAAACATTCATTCTATAATTGTGGAATATGAATTGATTAAGTAGCCTAAGGGTCAATGTATAACAGACTTTCAGTCTTCTGAAAAGATTGCTGGATAGAAAGGAAAACTGAAAACAGTTTTCTGAGAGAAGAAAACCTGAAAAGTTTCAAGACTGTATTATGCTCTCACAATTCACAGCCCTAGTTTATGTTAGACAATTGAGAAAAGAAAGGGACATAGCCGAATGTAGAGAAACAGGGAAAAACCCTGACAGGATTTGTATGTCGTTTGATTTGTAGGGTCCTCAAGAAAACTCGCAGCTATTTTTATGTCACTAGGAAGCCATATCCCCCAAAGATTATGAAAACCTAAAATGATTTTTTAATTGTCACTTTAATGTACAGAATGAACAACTTTTAAATATGGCTGAAGTTGGATTTGGCTAATCAGTGGTGCTACATGGAACAAAACCACTTAATAATTTGGTTGTTTTCATTATTTATTTTTTTCCTTTTTCTTCTTCTCCTCCTCTTAACCTTTTATATATTGGAATGTCTTGTTCAAATATTTCGTTCATTGAATGATGTCTAACATAATGTGCTTCTGGACTTATATTGGTTCAGAACAATGGACCCCCGGGCATAGGATTACGGCCTCTTAACTCTCCAAATACAGTTTCTGGTATAGGGTCCTATGACCAGCTTATCCAGCAATATCAACAACATCAAAGTCAATCCCAGTTTCGTATTCAGCAAATGTCTGCCGTGAATCAGTCATTTAGGGATCAGGGCCTCAAGTCCATGCAGGCTACACAACCTGCTCCGGACCCATTTGGTTTGCTTGGTTTGTTAAGTGTAATAAGGATGAGTGATCCTGTCTTGACATCCCTTGCACTTGGAATTGATCTGACCACACTTGGATTGAACTTAAACTCAACAGAAAATCTTCATAAGACATTTGGTTCACCGTGGTCTGACGAGCCTGCTAAGGGAGATCCAGAGTTCACTGTGCCGCAATGTTATTATGCTAAACAACCGCCTGTTCTTAATGTAAGCTGCTCTGAATATTTTTTTTGGTATTCTTCTGTTGACTACTTTCATTTTTGCTCAAGTCTCTGTTGCGATGACTGCAGCAAGCTTATTTCTCCAAGTTCCAGTTGGACACTTTGTTTTATATTTTTTACAGGTACATCTCTTCGTCGGGTCTCCACTAATCTTTCCTTGTGACTTTTATGTTTGCAAATTGATGCAATTCTTCGTTTTATGCAGCATGCCAAAAGATGAAGCCCAGCTATATGCTTCAAATGAATTGTATGATACCTCAGCCGTGTGAACTATGTTTTATGCTTTGTGCATGTACTTTTTTTTTTTGGGTACTTTTTTCTGCTTCATGTTCATCTACCTCGATGCAATCTATAACGAACCATATTTTCATTAAAAAAAATTGACACTGCTTTAAGATGATTTCATGTTCTGTTATCATGCTAATTGGTTGAGGAGGGTTGCAGTTTTGCTAAAAGCTGTGTTGAACCTACTGTTGGCAGGTACAACAGAGGTTGGTTTTATCACAGAGAGCACCGGTTGTGGTTTTTGCGGTCTGCTAATATGGAGCCTCTTGTTAAGACAAACGCGTATGAGAGAGGATCTTATATTTGTTTTGATCCGAACACGTGGGAAACAGTCCGCAAGGTTTGAACCTGTCAAATTCCTATTTCATTTATCCATATCTTTTTATTCAAATCAGCCCCCTGAATAAAATGCATGCTTTTGTTGCAGGAAAATTTTGTTCTCCACTATGATATGTTGGAAAAAAGACCACCTTTACCTCAACATTAACAAATGTTCCCCTGCTCAAATTGTAAAGCTCTGCTCATGTCATTCGTTAGAATTGTATGTTGGTTAGCAGCTTTGGTTTTTCCTTCAAATTGTATGCAATTGGTCTCTGTCTCTTTCTTTTAAATGGAGCTTAGTTCTATAAAAAGCTATGGAACAGCTATTTTGCCTTCTCAATTTTTTATAAAAACAGAAAAGCAAAAACTAGAGGGTCGTTTGGTAACGTTTTTATTTTCACGTCTTCAAAAAAAAAAAAAATAGAAACAATTGTTGTCTTTATTTTGTGGTAAACACTGAAACAGAAAATATGTTTGAGAGTTATTTGTGTCTATCAAATTATGAGAATAAAAACAAATAACATGTTTAGTAACTATTTCGAGTTATATCCTTAAGTCTCCTGTTTGGTAACTACCCAGATGCTCATGCTGATAAACAATGGAGGGATGTGGCTTTGTCTGTAATGAGAACTAGTGGTTGCTGTTGGTGATGAATTTGCATTGGACCTTGCAAGTCAAGACCCCCATAAGTAGGACCAAAGTAATCATATTACTTGAAGACATTGTCTTCCATTGGCATTTCAAAACAACAATGCAAATCAAATCCATGACACCCAAAATACATCTGAAATTATATAAGCTCTCAGATCTGTCCCTGTGATGTCTTCAAGTATGTAGCACACCATAATCACTATAGAAAAAATACAGTGTAGCACAACAGCAATAACTCAACAACAGAAACCGTCATTGCAGTAAAAAACCCAGCAACTCCATAGCAGCATGTCACCAGATCACCTTATCAGCATACCACCTTAGGAAGCCATATCACATTATCAACCTGAGCAGGAGCAGGTTTTCAAATTGGAGGGAAAAAAAAATTTACTGAGTAAATCAACAGAATTACACGAATCAAAGGGGAAAACAAACCCTATTTACACCACAAATTGAAGGATTTAATCCTTCAAAACACAAAAAATTAAATTGAACTCTCCTTAAGGGTCACCGATCGATGCCCAGAACTAACATCATGAGCATAAGCCACCAAAAGACAAAGAAGACTTTTAACGCAAAGTTGGCACCCACACTCGGCAGCTCCAACTTCACTGAACCAGGGAAATCCTCCTTTCAGTGAAAAACAAGGGATTTCTTAATTCGCAAAGCTGGTATGCCATACTGATCCAACAGCATCAACATCCTCCTTGCACTAGGCAAAGGAACCTCTGTAAAATCAGTCGACCTTGGCGATTGGACTGCTTGATTGGCCAAAAAATCAGCTACTCCATTGGCCTGTCTAAACACATGATTCAACTGTAGAGGGGTTTCTCTTTGAATTTGTAGTTGGCTCATATTAGTAGTAACTGACCATTGCAAAGTTTTACACAAAGTTTTACATAAATTTCAGCTTATGAAAATCAAATATGCAAATTCACACCCATAATTGCGGATTCATAGCCATATATTTATTTTTTTACATCTAATCGATACACACACCCACACCCATAAATCGATCCACCCACAGACACACCCACAAATCGACACACACACACAGCCCCACAAATCCATACACATACCCACACCCACAAATCGACACACACGCCCACACCAACAGACACATACACAAAAAATTTAACTCAGATAGAACAAATATAACTCAGATCTAATAGATCTAACCCATATCTAACAGAGAGACAAACAAGAGACTGACAGGGATAGACCTTCGGGTCTTTGTTGCAGAAAGAGGTGAGAGAGAGCTTCGGTCTTCGTTGCAGAGGGAGAGCTCTGGCCTTTATTGCTCTGATAGAGGCTAGGCCGAAGTTGCAGAAACGAGAGAGAGAGAGAGAGAGCTCAGAACAGGAGCATCATTCTTCAGTAATAGAGGGGAGAGAAAATGAACTGGGTTTTTACTTCAAAGAAAAAAATGTGTTTTGTTGCAAAGAAGATTCGAAGTCTGAATCTCATTAAATCTCCCCCCAAGCCTCGCGCGTTTGTTTTTGTTTCCTTTGTTTCTTGGAACATTTTTTTTGGTATTTTTTGTTTTTGGGCTTGTCTTCAAAACAACTGATTTTATATAAAATAGAAATACTAACCCAAATGCATTTTTGTTTTTATTTTTTACAAAAAATAAGAACAGAAACACAAAACGCAAAATAAAAACACCAAATAAACGCACCCTAGGTTTTAGTGATTACTGTTGGGTAGCTTTATAAGGGAATTTATTACCAAAACACAATTTTTTTGGAATTTTAATATCAAAATATGATATTTTTGAACTTATTTACCAAACTACAATATTTTTTAAAAGCGGAGTCAATAATCCCGCTTTTATTAAAAATCAGATTCAACAACCCCACGTTTGTTAAAAAACGTAGTCCAAAATAATGAACTGAAACAAGTTAAAAACGTGGTTAGTAGCCACACTTTTCATGTGTTTCAACTGGTGTGAAGAGATTCCTTATCTTCGTATCCAAAACCTCCATACTCATCCACCCCCAGGGCAAACATATGAAGGAATGAATTCTCTCTACAATGCAACCAAACCCCTCCCTCTCAAGCACCCTCCTCTTTTCTCTCCATACTCACCTCACATAACTAAACTCTATACATCCAATTGTCCAATCAAAAATTGATTTTCCTTTTCCTTCACACTCAAATCCTCGCCATCAACATCCGAAATTGACATGGTAAGAACTAAATGAGTTTACCCCACAAATGGGTTTACCTAGAAAACCCTTTTGACTTTTTTTTCTTTTTCTGGTCATGTTCACCAACCTTGAGATGATCCAGTAATTGAATCTGCCTTTAGAGGTACATATTTATCAAATCTTATACAAGAGACCTGGGATCCACTCCCCCAAGAAACAACTTTGTTGACTTTCCACACATATTTCTCATCCCATTAAACTTCCAAAAATAGAAGGAGAATTTTTTTTTTGAATGAATATGGTCATATAATCTTTGCTATAACTTGGCAAAATTCAAAATTTTCTTTCTTGTAAGAGGGAATCTACCAAAGAGTTTTCTATTGGGCCAACAGCTCTGGTTCTCAGTAATGGTACATGTGAATATGTTAGGTGAAAGAGTGTAAAAAACGTGTTTAATAAACACACTTTTCAAAAAAAAAAAAAAACCGTAAAAGGCGTGTTTACAAAACACGCTTTTCTCATTGTTCAAAATTTCCCCCCCTAAAAGCGAGGTTATTGAATCCGTTTTTTAACAAAAGCAGAGTTGTTGAATCTGTTTTTAAAATGTGTCGTAGTTTGGTAAATAAGTTCAAAAGGGCTATACTTTGGTATTAAAGTTTCAAAACAACTGTGTTTTGATAGTAGATTCCTTTAAAATGTCAACTGTTGGTTCTAGAATCAGCTTTAACTAAGTGGGCAATTAATACGAGGCAGTTGGTTTAATTACAACAAAGTGTCGAGTTATGACATAAAAAAGATAAAGGGAAAATTACACTCAGACTGTCTGAGGTTTGTTACTTAATCATTCAGATTCTCTGATATTTAAAATATTATACATAGATCTCTTTGAAGTTTGTACGTGCGTAAAAATTAAAACTTAGATTTTTTTCGTCAATGTTTGGTATTAGTAAATTACATTTAGACCTTTTGAAATTTGTAAACGTGTAATATTTAGACCTCTCTAATTTAAAATGTTATACTTAGATTAAAAATATTTCAATCAAAAATAGAATGTCAAATATTTTAAATTTTATAATCAAAATTTATGTTCTATCATAACATTTATTGAAATAAAATTAAAATTAAAATTTTAATTTTTTTAAAAAAAATATAATTAGTATATAATTATATTATCTATTGTAATTTAATTTGGTCGTCTAAATGACTAAATTAAACTTCCCCAATTAAAGTTAGAAGATATTGTATTCATTATAGTTTGACCACTTGTTTGATTTTTTAATTTTTTTTTCTAATAGATACTATAATTGTTTACTAATTATAATTTTTAAGAAAAAAAATTAGATTTTTAATTTTGATTTTATTTTAATAAATGACATAATAAAACATGAATTTTGGTTGTAAAATTCATGTTCTATTATGAATTACTTAGACTCTTGGGTAAATTAAACTCACACCTCCTGACAGTTGGTTTTATTACACGGACACCTCTCACTAGGGGTGTAACTTGGGTTGGGCAACTCGATTTCCACCCGAGCCCAATCCGAAAAAATTAGGGTTTGGGCAAGGATTTTTAATACTTGGTTTGAGCTTGAGTCAAAAAGTCCCAACCCGAATTCAATTTGGGTTGGGATTAAATTAAGGTTTCGTGAACCCAAGTTCAACCAAAACTCGACAAATTAAAAAAAAAAATTATATATATAAAGCATTAGCACCGATTTTTTATTTTTGTTCTATCGTTCTCTGTCTCTCTCGTTCTCTTTGCCTCTCTCGTTAAAAACTTGGTTGAAGTTATTGATTGTTAATTTAGGTGAATATTATGTAATATATGTATTAGGCTGTGAAGCACGAATACGGATACGGGATATGGGTACGATATAATACGGATACAACGATACGACAAAATCTAAAAAAATAGGATACGGGTACGACCAAAATACGGCTATAATAAAATATATTTAATATTTTAATTATTTTTAACCAGCTTAGTACTTATATATTTTAGTAGTTCTGTAATATATAATAAGGAAAATTAATAATTTTTTTTAATTTCAAGAAAATATGTATCGTATCGCTGTAGTATATTCACAAAGTGAAGTGACTAATTTAAAGAATCAAAACTAATATTTATCAAATATTTAGAATTAATTTTTGCTAAGATAATAATGTAATAACTTTATTTTATGCTCTTTGACATATAATTGTAAATAATACTTAAGAAACACTCATGTGTCTTTGAAGTAATGTGAATTTTTTGTTAATGTACTGTATGATATGTAAATTCGAAAAAAAAATGTTAAAATTTTAACTCAAAAATTATATATGTTGCTCGACCACAAAAATATCCGTGAAGTATTCTAATATTTAATTATTATCAGACGTGTAGAAGGTGTATCCGATACGTATTTTCGAGTATCCGACGAGTATCGTATCCGATACGGTATTGAATACGAGTATGTCAACCTCAACAAAGTTTTCGTGCTTCGTAGGTATTAGGTTTAGAACAACAAGCCTATTTTAGGCTCTACCCGAATTGAACCCGTAAAGTAACCGAAAATCAGTCTGAAATCATCAACCCGAGCCCGCCGGAATTAAACTCAGGCAGTGCTCAGGTTGAGTTCCCCAACCCGAGATAGGGTTAGGGTTAAAGTTAGGATTATGGCTGAAGATTATATACCTAGGATTGGGGTAGGGTTGATTGTCCAATCCATCTAACCCGCCCGAGTTGCACCCCTACCCCTCACTTTTAAAAAATTACTTCAAGACCCTTTGACATTTAAACACGTGTGATAGCCGCACTCCTTTTATCTAACAGACGTTAACAATTTTATTAAAAAGACATTTTTAACTCTCATATATCCTAATCATCTTCTTCCTCCATCCCCTTCGCTACCCTAACCTAAGTTGTACCCCCATCGTCGCCTTTACACCACCACCACCACCTCCTCTCTCTCTCATGCGTGCGCGCGCGCACACACACACATACCTCCAATCCTCAACTGTGGCTTCGAAATCAATTCCCAACAAATGCCTTCCAAATTGAAAAGAAGCCCCAAAAACAATGGTCCTTGCAGTATACACATAAAAACATGGTGGTGAGCTATATATATATATATAAAACAAAATTTTCCCCAATTCTTCTGCAATGGTCCTTGCAATATACACACAAAATTTTCCTTGCAGTATACACACAGAATTTTTCCCAATTCTTCTGTAATTTCACCCCAATTCTTCTGCAATTTCAGGCTGTTATATAGATATATATATACACACAGAGAGAAAAACATGGTGGTGAGCTTCGTTTCACAATTCAGAGAGAATTTTCCCCAATTCTCTCTAAATTGTGAAACCAAGCTCAGCACCATGTTTTTCTCTGTGTGAATATATATATATATACACACACACAAAGAAAAACATGGTGATGAGCTTGGTTTCATGATTCAGAGCCCACCCAACCACTTCTAAGCCCATATCCTCTTACTCCTTCCTTTCGCAAAACCATAAACGCAGGTCCCAAAAACCCCAACGCAAAACCCTTCTTTTTCCACCATAATCTCTCACATATCACTTCCAAACCGAAACCCATGTACCAATTCGAATTCCATACCGAAAAGGGGTCTTGAATTCGACACACGAGACACCTTCTTCCGCCATGAAAGCGCCACCGGCTGCGACCTCGGCGTGCTCGCCACATCCTTGTACAAGAAATCCCACACACACAGAGGGAGTGAGGGAGAGAGAGAAGACCGATGATTTTGAGCTGGTTCTTCGCCTTGAATGAGTGAGTGAGAGAGAGAGAGAGCACTATGTAGATGACGGTGAAGATTAGGGTTTGGGGTTTAGGTTGAGTTTGTGTTAAATAAAGGGGCAAAATAATTTTTTTATTAAGATAGTTAGCTCTGTCTAACTATTGGGGTCTCAGTGTAAATTTTGAAATGTGTCGGGGTGTTTGTGTAATAAAATTAAATATCAGGTAATGTGAGTGTAATTTATCCTAGACTTTGTTTATTTTTTAGTTTTATTCCAATAAATAGATTAATTGTATACTAAATGACAAGTTTTTAAGAAAAAATTAAATTTTTATTTTTGATTTTATTTTAATAATTGATACAATAGAACACGCATTTTTGTTGTAAAATTTAAAATATTTGATACTTTATTTTTAATTAAAATATTTTTGATATAAACATAACATTTTAAACTTGAGAAATTTAAGTATTATATGTCTACAAGATTCAGGAGATCTAGGGGTAATTTATTAACGGATATTGACTATAGGAGTTGAAGTGTTATGCATGTACAAACCTCAGAACGTTTGTGTGAATTGTTTCAAATATCAATGGGTCAAAGTAATTAAGTGACAAATTTCAAGAGATTTATGTGTAATTCTTCCATAGATAAAAGACCAATTTTAAAATGTTTAGATTAATCTTAGAATATTTTACTTTATTAGAGTCTTGTCATACTTTATTAGGATCCTAAAGATGGGATATAACAAACGACAGAATTAAAAAAAAAAAAAACGAAAGATTCAACATTGCAACTTCACTTTCTCATAACCTTACTCGATTGAGTATGAGTCTCAGTCAATTGAGTTGTAATGTTAGGATTGATCTGAACAATTTCGAATCAATTCTAATGCACCCTGTTTTGTCAACCCCACTAAATTGAGTTTGCTTAGCCAATTGTTTTCAATAAGTTATTATAAAGTAGCTTTTCAACTGTAATCTTCAACATGTCTTGACGAACTTACCAAACGAAAAAAACATGTCTTACCGATCTCTCAATATAGTTCTAGGTTTACGTATGCTATCACTTGCTGAACAACTGAAAAAGTCCCTAGTTAAAAAGTACTTCGATGTCACTAACGGTTTAAAACACCTTTCTAGATCCCGTCTTTTAGACAAATTCAAAGCTGTATTGGACGATCAATCGATTTTCTAGCTAATTTCATCATTTCTGACATTACCGGTTTTGGACAAGGATGGCCTAGATTGGTCAATGTGCTTGCTGTCAAATTACCAGCATTGGGGCCATCCCTCTGTTTGACAGTATAAGTTGTAGTAAAGGAGGTTCAATTCCCGAGTTTTCTCTGAGTTTACATGCCACAGTTTCCAGTTGATAATGATACTGAAGCCAACACTCATTCATTATTAGCTAACCATGAATATGGTAACCAAAACTACAGAAGAGAGAAGAACTACTTTGTACTCAGAGAGCATTCGCATGAGATAGAATATATAGAAAGGATTTATACCCCTTATGCCCAAAGCGAAAAACAGATTTGACATGGGAATCTTTCAAATAGCATACATCTTCTTATACTCATTGTTCAGAATCTCTGTATCTGACATTACCGATACTGACCAGGACCGCGACCTGCTGTTATGAGAGCTCTTCCTAAAGCTCCTCAAGTTTGAGGCCTCGATTCGATGCATAATCACCCAATAACACATTGTACCCAAAGTTGTAGCCATTATTGTTGTTCCTACTATTGTCACGCCAATTGCAAGCCACCTCTCATGCTTGCCAACCACAACAAATGACAATGCCAAGAATGCCACCGAAATAAGCACGCATGCCAACCACATAAGTTTGTTTATGATTGCCATCATCTGCTTCTTTGCCTTGCTTTCTATTACCACAACTGATGTTTGCACCACCACAACAGCAAGAGAGATGAATAATGCAATAGAGTCAAAGACAAAGAAAATCAAAAACGCAGGATTTGGAGCAATATTTGCTTCTCCTAGGGAATGCCCGGGTGGAATATTTTCTGGGTCATCAACATATTGCCCCGGGACAGTGAAAATGGCTGCGAATGCTACCGTAGCAATTAGGACAGCTACGACAGTTGTAGAGTTGATTGCATTGTTAAGGCCTTCACTGTGCATTTTGTTGAGGCGTTTGGCAATGCCTTGCACTCGTTTTCTAGTTTGGCGAGTGTGTTCGAGTTGATTGTGGACTTCATGCTTTATGTCACTGACTGTTTGTTTCAACTCCCGAGCTGGATTTGTTGCTTGAGGCTTGAGGGCCCTTGCGCTCACAACTCCATGCTCCTGTAGGATGCCTGCAATTTCAGTATGCCCCATTTTCTCGGCTGTATCTAGGGCAGTTTCATTAGACCTGTTAACAGCTTTTGTGTCGGTCTCATTCTGCCCTAGTAGCAGCTTAATAATCTGCACAAACAGAACAAACAATTATGAAGTCAGACCTTATCCATCATCTAACTTGACTAATGTTTCTTCCAGAAGTTTTGTAAGGGAATTTTGTAGATAATTGAGTGAAGATCTAGTATGCTACCAAAAGAACGAAAGAACCGTGGAAGAAGTAGTTAGGTTGCAGGTAAATGACAACCATCATAATGTGCATTTGTAGTCTAACAGTGTTTGAGACATTGTAAATCACAAATGAGGTAACTACACCTGAATAATAACAGTAGAAATTCAAAATCTTTTTCATGTTCTAGAGATCTTGTACCATCGCATTACAAGAAGATCAACGCTTTTGACTAAATTTCTATAATCTTTGAACTATAAATATAGTTTCCTTCTTCTATTTTCTTCCAGGTCATTGACTAGGAATATTTTGGCTATGCACGTCTATTTCAATGATATCACAATTACCGTTGGCTATGCCTTCATCTGGCAGCATGATGCCTCCATTTCTAATACTTTTTCCGGTTGAACAGTCAAATCTTAAACATTGTAATTTCAATTGGTTATATGTTTTACAAGACGTTTGAAGATTTTGTTTCCGTTTCACAATATTTGGTTTCTAAAAAAATTACTCTAGAAAGCTAACGCACGCCCTTACATTTTCTTCGCTTGCTCTGCAGTACAAGCCTCATACAGAGCCTCACCCCTTTAATATGATGAGAAGAGGAGTGGCCACCATCTTTTCTTTTCAACACCAATCCTTACTTACTACTACATAACAATATGTAAAAGCTTGACGTGTTCCCAAATGGGCAGCTTGGAAAAGTTTCATCCCCCCTCCCCACATATTCTTTCTTACATCAAACGCAACACCTAACAACAAATTATAGTCATTACACAACAATATGAAAACCTTTTTGAAAACTTAACTCAATGAAGCAAAGCCTATAATGAGTCAACCACAAGAATCAAGCTAATTTTATGGAGGCTAGAATGTGTGGCTGTAGTGTTAATAATTGTTTTCATCATTGAAGATTGTTATATGACTACTAAGATTGGAGGAATGGCCAATTCACCTGATCCCTGCCTTTCCGAGTTGCTATATGCAATGCTGTGTTGCCCTTAGTATCAACCATGTTTATCAATGAAGGATCTGCTCTGATCAGCTCCTCCACCACCTCAAGATTCTGTCCTTTCACAGCCATATGAAGAGCAGTCTGCCCCTTTTTATCATGCCTTGATGCAACCCCAGGCTCCTTATCTAAAAGGGCCCTCAAGACCTTCACATGCCCATTTCTTGCCACGGAATGCAAGACCGTTTTCCCATTACTTTTAGCTATAGTGGCCAGGCTGCTCTCTGACTCCAAGAGAAAATTTACCACCTCTATATGCCCTTGAGTTGCAGCCGTGTGCAAAGCCGTGGTGTTTGCAACATCTACTGTCATCGAAAGTTCTGGATGTGCCTCCATTAGCAGCTTCACCATCTCTGCAACATTAGAAGTTTTAAGTAATGAGGTAGAAAAGCGAGAACAAAGGAAAAAGAACACAATGACATAATGTGGTTTACATTCCACTGACACAATGAGCATAAGGGCTTACTGTCTTATCTATGGATTACAATGTAGCTTAATTGTGTGCTTGATACAATAAGAATACCCTTACAGGTAGTGTACAAAATCATTACAATAAACAAGTGTGGTTAATACCTTCAAAAGAAGAAACATTACAAATAGCAAATACAAAACTACAGTGTTAGAGACATACCCAAATCCCCTTGTTTGGCAGCAATGTGAAGTGCATCAAAGCCATTCCTTGCTTTGATTCCAGCAGAAACAAGATCATAGTACTTGATCATCTCCCTTACCAGATCAATATAACCATATTCTGCAGCAACATAAAGGCCTGTTTCACCAGCTGAATTCTGCTTCCCCAACAATTCCGTTAATTCTCTCTCTTCAAGACCATTAATAATTTCCCCCACAGCAGCAAGGTTCCCTGCTCTAGCCGCAGAATGCAATGGTGTATCATCTCGTTTCCCTGTTAATTGTTTCGTCATCTTTTTACGGGGTGTTGAGACCTGCGGCCCTGCTGGTGACTCCATTGTATCCAAAAAGCAGAAAATCCCTCTCCTAGGCTATACACTAATCTCTCTTATAAACTCTCTTCTTCCTCCCCTCAAAAACCCAGATCAGCAATCGCATTTTCTCTCCCCAAATATCACTATTTGTCAAAAACAACCCAGAAATATATCATTTCGATTACCTCTGAATTTAAGGAATAAAAAAGATGAAATTGATTCCCAGCTCCTATGCCTGGCTTTGGTTACTGATGAACACAACTCAATGGCCTGTTCACATGAACAATCATCTATCATAATATGATAATTCAATATCACCACCTTCTATTTATGATCATCATACAACATAACTACTTTTCTATAAATAAAAAAAAAATTACCTTACAGAACACCACAATGGATTTCTGCTTTATATTTTCTTTGTTTTCCCTTTTACTTTTGTCAATGGATTACAACTAGACAGATTGAATTACATATACAGAAAAAGGCAAAATATTCACCTGGGTATGAAGGAAAAAGGAGAACCTCTTGCTCTCTACCATCAGAAACCAGAGAAACCCATAAGTTCAATAGTATTCTGATATAAAAAATTACAGATTATAGGTATAAAAGATTGAAGAAAGCCAGGTTTTAGCAGGTTTGTATATGTAATCTGAACATGAAAGGTGGAGAAAAGGACCAAATGCTGAGAGGCTGAGAGAAGGGACAGGAATGGCACATGTATCACACCCAGAGCTCTTAGATCAAAAAAGAAAATCTAATTTAGTAAATAAAGGATGGGTCTTTTTGTAAAGTTGGTGATTACGATGATGCTTGCAAAGAAAATGGAGAATCTACATATTTAAAGAAAGGTGAACAAAATAAATACAAGCACACCAAAATGTTGCAAAAAAAGAAAAGAACTACGGCAGAACCAGAAATAGTGGGGTAAAAGAACCAACGGTAATACCAGAACCAGGCGCGTTGTTTCACTTGGTCCATATTATCTCCAATAATTGTAAAGTTTGTGATTTATATTATGCCTCTTAATCGTGTCACATGAGATGGGTTCGTATTAAGTCTTAGTGAGTTCGTATTGAAAAATACTCAATTCATTTATTAATTCGTATGTAATGAGTCATGTCCTATCGAATTCATATCATGTATGAATCGTGTATGACTGATACATAAACGAGTCGTGTCGAATGTTTCTTTTAATTAATTTCACTTATACCCGATTCGTTTATTAATTTTGTCATGTCGAATCCACTTGTTTATTAAACGGGTGATTTAAAGAAAACTCAAATCTTTTAATTTCTTACCGTGTTAACTAGTTAGTTTCATATTTTGACACACTTAATTTTTAACTCCCTCTAATTTGGAAGAGTACTCAACGCGCTATAGTTCTTGTGACATCGGAGTCTGGGCACCAAATTGACCAGTTTTATATGCCGAATCATTTAATTATCGGGTTAATGGGTTTTCATCGGATCCAAAAAACTCCAAATCCCTGTGACGCGGAGTTTGTTCTATTTTCTTAACTTGGGATCCTATCAAGCTTTGAATAAAAATATGGTACAAATTAATACATAATTAGATTTAAATTTCAAATTAAATTACATGAATCTTATAGATCGTTTAATTAATTATTAGTAAATTTTCATTTTGAAGTTTTAACAAATTCATAAAAATTTTCGGTAAGAGCCCACAGAATCAAACCCTAAAGTGATCTTCCGATGAATGATTGTCAAGGGGTGCATGTGAGTTGTCCCCATTGAGAAAACCATTCTTTTCAAAAGAAGAGTGGCCAAACTCATTTATTCATCTTTACCTACCATCATCATTTTGTTTTAGGATAGGGTTCAACGACTGTACTTTGATCATGACTTTTTTTTTCTAGATATTATTAGAGGGATAAAGGGAGAACGGAATTCAAACGCATGACTTTAAGGTATACCAGTGAAGCACCTATTATCATGACTTCAAATGCAAGATATTTGCATACATACTAAAGGGTTTTATGTAGGTTTATATAGGAGTGTCAAAATATGATATAATTTATTAACACGATACGAAAATAAAGAGTTTGTTTCTTAAGTCACTCGTTTCATAAACGGGTGGATCAGATACGACTCGTTTATATACCGGTTATACACGGTTGATACACGATACGAATTAAAATACGAATCAAATATGAGTTAAGTACTTTTTAATACAAACTTGCTAAGACTTGACATTGTCCAAATTTGGAACAAAAAATAACAAAGGTATTAATCTAGCAATAGTCCACGTTAATTATTTTTGTCACAATAATCTTGAGCGCCAATCTCACAAAAAACAAAGTTTACCAATCACTAATCCCATGTAATTGCAACTTGCATCCTTAGTACATCATTAAATAAGAAATAATGAATGTTGTATGAGTTAGGTATATAGCTAATTTTATGGACAAACAACATTAACATCATATTTCAGAAAATAGCACTACAAAGCCTTAATATTTCAAATCCTCTATTGACTATTTTTATCCTTGTTTAAGTAACAAAAAACAAATCCTTGTTTGACTAAGAAAATTTTCACAAATTTAATGAAAATTTTAATAAATATGTAGTTTTATACTTCAATTTTACCAGAATCAACTCAAAAAAAAAAAAAATCATTATACCACATAAATTTAGTTCAAACATCTTAGGTGTTATTCTTGTAATAATAAGTCTCCGTGTAATTCATCAAAACTAAAATATGTAGAGTTACATGACTTTATTATTATTATTATTATTATTTTCTCGTTTGTGAGTGACCATTTTAAAATTTATTCAAAGTAATTTCCATCATTAGGGTACATTATTATTAGGGTTAATTATAATATGTCCCCTTCAATTATATTCCTTGTTGCAATCAATTCTCTATGGTTTCAAATATTATAATTTGTCCCTCTAAGTTTCAGGTGAATTAAATTGATTGATAATAATAGTTGAACACCTGAAAGAACTATTATACCTTTCGTCTTGTACATTATTTCTCAAATTTTTTTTCTTAAAAAACCAATTTTGTCTCTTAAAAATAAGGAATCGGAAAAGTCAAGACTAAAAATATAAGGAAACCTTCGCCATCACCTTATCATAGAGAATGGAGGGTTTCTATCGAAAGAGAAAAGGGTATGAGAGTTAATCATTTGAAGTAAGGGAGGATGGAAGGAGAGAAGTATAGATATTTGGTAAAGGAAGAAAATAGGTGTGAGGGTAATTATTTATTTTCAATAAAATAGGAATGACAAGAATTTGACATGTCGGACTTTTGTCAATTTTTATTGTTTAAAAATAATTATTGGAAGTAATTACAAAATATTTAAACTTAAAAGGAGTATTTGTTAAAATTAAAACTTGAGGGAGTGAGCTATAAACTATCCAAAGTTAAAGGAAGTATTTTGTAATTAACCCTACTTATCATTATTATAACTCATCCATAGTTTAAAAAAGTAATTTGTAATTAACCCCTACTTATTACTATTATTTTCTCGTTTATGAGTGAACATTTTAAACATTCATTCAAAGCAATTTCCACCAGAGAGAAAAAAAGAATCATTCAAGTAATTAATGATATCATGCGTGAAGTAATGAAAGCACGAACAGCTGACCGAAGGCAAGGGGTGGGGCCCAACGTCGGCTATATCATTGGGGTCCACGAGAGCAGTTCGCGACTGGGATTTTGGACGGACTCGAGAACTCCCACTTTGCTACGTAGACTTGACAACTACAATGACCCACGCGCTCATCTTTCTTCGCAAACTTGGTCGGTACGCGCCATACGTTATGTGCATATGGAATATTTTTTTGGTCAGACATTAGTAAACTGATCATTACTATACAATAAATAAATATTTTTTAAATAATTATCCAAATTTAAAATAAATAACTTAAAATTATTCATACTAATTCTTCTTTTAAAATGATTCAAAATATATTATCGATCATTTCATCCATATTAATGAAACAATCATAAAAATATATAAAATTTTTTCAAAACAACACCATATATACAAATGACTCTAGAAAAAAAAAATACTAACCCATTGAAATTTATAATTTTAGTAATAAATAAAATCTTGTTCATTTATAAAACTAATGAATTTATCCCCTCGACTATCACTCAATCCAATAACACAACATAATTATAAAATCAACCACCATATTTTCAATCCACTCTATTCTCATGTAATAAATAACTTAAGCAAACAAAAAAAAAAGGCTAACAAAACATAATTAAATTCACAATATTTAAGCAATGAATAAAATTAACCAAATCATGTTTATTTATAAAACTCATGAATTTATCACCACTATTATCATTTAACCTCAAAATAACATAATATAATTATAAATTTAATTATCAAATCTCCAATCCTCCCCACACACATTTTTTTTTTTTTATTAATAACAAACTTTCTTAACCATTAATTATTTTTATTAGAAATAAAATACTTAAAGTTTTTAAGATAAAATAATAATAAACTAATGCTTAATTAAAAAACAGTGTAAAAATCATGGACATCCCTTGAGTTTTTGCAATATTACACGGATACTTTCTGACATTTGGAGACATTTGAGGTTTGAAATTGATTGCACGGAAACCCTCTCTGTCTCTCTTCCGTTAATGTTACTAACGACAATTGATAATTTCATCTTAAAAAAAATTATTATTTTTACAAGTGCCCTTCTCCAAATTTAGTACCAAAAAAAATTAAAAATTTAATAAAATCAAATAAAATTTAATTTAATACCAAAAAAGTAATATAATTTAGTACTCCACAAAAATTGATTAAATCAATTTCAATTTTAATTTGATAGAGTTGAATATAAATTAGACAAAATTAAATGTCAATTTTTGATAAAATTATATATTAATTTACAAACTAAGGTTCATTTCGTGTTGAATATTATTTGATGTTTATAATCAATGTGTTATTTTTTATTTATATTAAGTATTATTTACAAATTAAGAAGTAAGTGACAAAATACATGTCATTGGATATATAAAAAATTTGAATTAATTTTATGGAATAAATAATTGTATAGGGGAAACAAAAAAAGGATGACAAAGACAATTATACGAGGGATGAGAGTATTAAAGCTGTAAAAACGAATAAAAGTTTAATTAGAATCATCAGATCAAAATGATTTGAGCCGCGAAAAAGTCAAGACAAACAGTTTATTTATTTTTTTATATAGATATAGATATTGGTATAGATATATATAGATAAATATTTAGGATGGTATATGTTAATGAATGTATATTTTGCTAGAAATAAATCTTATTATTACAGTTTTAATAGATATTAGATATAATTTGTTATTATTAGATATATATAATTATCCAAGTCAATCTCTCCAATTGTTTGAATAGGGATGAGGAGAGAGAGTTTGAATGAGACATGTGAATGGGGATGAAGAGGGATAAAATAAAAGTAATAGAGTTCAGTAGGAAGTAAATTAATTAGGATCGTTGGATCAATAATATTGAATTGATTTGAATCATGAAAAGTTCAAGACAAACTAAACTAGTTATTTTATTATATGGATGAGGGGACGATTGAGATTTGAAGACGTAATTTTAAAGTCTACTAGCGGGAGTGATGACCATTAAATTAATTGCCAACTTCATGCATAAGGAATATTAAGCACTTAAACTGTTAAAACATACATCACTTGACAAATACCGAGTTACTAAGTTACATATGCAGATTCAGATTCTCCCTAATTTATTTTTCACTTGTATATAATAAGTTCCATTCGAATGCACGGGAAAAAAAAATGGAAAGGAAAGTCATCCTTAATTATTACCTTACAAATCGACACCCTAACAATAAAT